TCTCAGCTTGACCTTGTAGCTCAGACGGTAGAGCATCGTTCTAGAAATGCGAAGGTCGCGGGTTCGAATCCCAGCCGCGGTCAAGTAGAATTTTCTGCTTGCCCGGTTTGGTAAACACTCGTCTGAAAACAACTCATAAACCGCTACATAACGTAACACGAGTGGAATCGTCAACGTGGGAAACCACAACATTCATATATATATATCGAGGTCGCGGGTTCGAATCCCAGCCGCGGTCAAGTAGAATTTTCTGCTTGCTGGTTTGGTATACACTCGTCTGAAAACAACTAAAAAACCGCTACATAACGTAACACACAACATATATATATATATATATATATATATATATATATATATATATATATATATATATATATATATATATATATATATATATATATATATATATATATATATATATATATATATATATATATATATATATATGTTCGAAGAGCGGAATGGTTGGCGCATTTAAATCTTGTTCGCCGGCTGACGGCAAAGTAAATTCTAAAGAAAATGAGAGAGAATCACATGAAAATTACAGTTCGATTCCCGTTGAACTTCTTGTTCAAAAAATTCCTGTGAGAATAACCCATCGCGTATCAAACTTTCAAAGAAAAATAAATGCAAAACCTAGACAATTAAGAACACTACAGCATCAATCGGTTCCAGTACCAGAGAAAAGTTTCAACCGTAGAAATAACTTAATTTATATTAGCGGCCACCAAACCAAAAAAACGCCCTTACTCTCTTCTCTACCGAATTTATTTGTTTCTAATTCAAGATCGCTGATCAGCAAGATTGACGAACTGTCTGCTACAGTAAAATCCTATACATCAGACATTGTCGTTGTTACCGAAACGTGGCTTTCTTCAAACGTTCCTAATTCAGCAATAGATTTATGCGGTTATTCCTTACTGAGGCATGATCGTTCCGACGGCAGACGAGGAGGTGGAGTCTGTGTCTTTGTAAAGGACATGCTTCCGTTCATTCATCTTAAAGAGATTGAAAGTCACGAATATGAGTCGCTTTGGTTACTCTTAAAACCTCACCGCTTGCCTCGTGGTTTAAATTCAATTGTATTGGGAATCGTGTACCATCCACCTGCATGGAAGTGACGATAAAGCCCTTCTTTCACACCTTACCGAATCAATCGATTCTGTCCTTTCCACCAATCCCGGTGCAGGAATTATTTTGGCCGGAGATTTTAACCAATTTAAACATCGCCAGTTATGCAGTTCCTTTAACCTCAAGCAGTTAGTCAAAGACGCTACTAGAGGAAAGAATATTTTAGATAAAATATTTACCAACATTTCTAAATTTTATAATTTTGCCCTGGTAATTTCTCCAATTGGACATTCCGATCATAATTCCATCGTTCTTAAACCTCTTCGAGCTAACTCTTATGGTGGCACAAGGTCTACACGTTTAGTACGAGACTCTCGCCCAACCAATCGTCGAATTGTTAGCGATCATCTGTCGAAAGTTAATTGGTTACCTTTGCACCATATGGAATCTTGTGACGAGCAGTTCCAGTATTTTTCCACCATCGTAGATAATATCATAAACGAACATTTGCCTTGGAAACAAATCAAAATTGATTCTAGTGACAAGCCCTGGATTATTTCCGAAATAAAATCTCTCATTTCCAAGCGGCAGACAGCATGGGCGGCTGGCAATAACCTTATGTTCAGATTCTGTCGAAACAGAGTCAATGCACTTTGCAAAAAGGCACGACTAAATTACTACAATAAAAGTGTCGCGGGCGTTCAACAGTCCGATTCTCGTAAATGGTGGTCAGCGGTGAAGAATATTGCCGGTCTTCAGTCTTCTAAGAATGTATCTACAATGATGTTCCAAGGTAAATCCTACTCTGATGCCGATTTAGCAAATTTGCTCAACGACAAGTTCGTTGCTGTAGGGTCCTCCTTACCCAATCTAAACTGGCTCCCCCTTCCCACAAATGACATTCCAGATGATTTCTGCATCTCTGTCGAGGAGACTGAAAAGGCCCTATTATCATCTAAACTTCATTCATCTGCTGGTCCCGATGAAATTCCTTCTTGGCTTCTCCGGGAAAACGCTTCAGTGTTGTGTCGACCTTTGTGTTCTATTTTTAATTCATCAGTTCGTGAAGGACTTGTTCCCTCAATATGGAAGGCAGCAAATATTACACCAGTTCAAAAATCTTCGCCTCCTAAAGATGTTGATTCTGACTTCAGACCAATCTCCCTCACACCAATTATCAGCAAGATTCTTGAATCCTTTCCCTACAAATGGCTACTTGACTCCGTCTCAAAAAATTGATTCCTTGCAATTTGGTTCGCTGAAGGGTTCAAGCACTAGTATGGCATTAATCTACATGCTACATAAATGGTTTGAAACAGCTGACAAACAAGGCAACACTATACGGATTTGTTTACTTGATTTTGCCAAGGCGTTTGATAGATTAGATCATAACATTCTGTTGGAAAAATTGAAAGACATGGAAATTCATCCCGTGTTACTCAACTGGATCGCTAACTTCCTAACAGGCAGACAACAAAGAACCCGTGTTGGTCAGTTCTTTTCTGAGTGGAAGTTTTTAAACGCCGGCGTCCCACAAGGAACGAAGCTTGGCCCGCTATTATTTTTGATCATGATAAATGACTTGGCTGTAGTGGATGAAACTGTTAAATTTGTCGATGATACTAGCCTTTGGGAAATAATATCAAACAATTCCCCTTCCCAGTTACCCGCTAACATCATCAGCTGCTCTGAATGGTCATCAGACAATAATATGAAGTTAAACGTATCAAAGACCAAAGAATTGCGTGTCTGCTTTTCTAAGCTTACTCCATCGTTTGCCCCTATTAACATTCGCGGTCAAGAGGTCGACGTCGTTTCCGAGGCCAAACTATTGGGCGTTGTCCTTTCGGACGACCTCAAATGGAACTGCCATATTGACTACATTTGCAAGAAAGCCGCGAAGCGTTTGTACGGTCTGCGCCTTCTTAAAAGAAATGCTTTACCTTCTCATATTCTGATCTCAACCTATTGTACACATATTCGACCAATTGTCGAATATGCTTGTCAGGTGTGGCATTATGGCCTTCCTCATTACCTGAGTGACCAAGTTGAAAAAATACAAAAAAGGGCATTAAAAATTATTTTCCCTGGAACTATCTATGCTGAATGTTTGCTTAAAGCTAACTTGATGACTCTTTACGAACGTAGAACTATCCATTGCAAGCGACTTTTTTCGAAGATGTTGGAACCCACTCATAAACTGAATGCCTTAGTACCGCCTAAAAGTCTTCAAACTTATAATCTGAGGTCTTATCCCAACTTATTAGTACCTAGGTGTAGAACTGAACGTTTTTCGAACAGTTTCATTCCTGCTGCGTCTCGTGCTTATAATAATAAGTAAACAAAAGATTATTATCGTTATTTTTATCTAACTTACCTATTTTTACCTGTAAATATAGAATAGATTAAATACCTATGTTCTTATACCCTGTAATTCCAAAGTAATTCAGTTGTTACTGCTAGTTTGGAAATTTATAATAATAATAATAATAATAATAATAATAATAATTCACCGAATTACGTTATCCTTGATAATTCTGGATTTTACAAAAACTCATTCAATAACTGTTTCTAAATTCTAATCTAACTGGAAGCCCTGTTCCTAATGTTTTCCACAAAACAGATTCAATCTAAAGATTTTTCATTATTTTTCTTTATATTCAATAAGTTAGAGACTGCCTTGAGAAAAATCTCCTGGTCAAGAATGTCGAAGCAGGATAAGGAAGACAAGGTTGGTGTGGGATACAACTATTTGAAAAATACAAGCAGAACTTCACTTGGTTCCCGAAGCCTTCGCTTGAGACATCTTGATGACTTCTAAGACCAGCATCCCGCGCGAGCATTAAGCCTTGTGACGTCATTTTGCACTACCTAACCCACCCTGTCAACTTTCCATGTGGGAGGGAACCAACCGACTCTTTTCACATAAATGTTCGTTAAAAAATTCCATATATCTAAAACTGCTGTGCTCGACGTTTAGAGCGAAGGCTCTTTGTCAAGAGTTACTTCATCAAGAGTTACGCTACTAACTCTTGACGAAGGGCCTTCGCTCGAAACGTCGAGTTTCTGCTTGTTTTTTAAGGTAGTAATATAACCACTCAGCACAGCATTTTCACATTGGTACTGGTACAGACAGTTTTAGTATATATATCTAAAACCCATCTATATACATCGCAATGCTTTTTTCAACAGCAATTCCTGGAAGGTAAATTGGACGAAGTTCTCAAAGAACTGGGGAAAATACGTTTACAATTGAGGAGCAATGAAACGGACTAATGCTACTTTCCAGCACTAGTGATGGTTCGGAATGATATTAACAGAGCGGCAATGGACGAAACTGACGAACATTAATTATGTCGCTGTGTTATTTTAATATAATTTAAAAAAATTAATAAAGGCCACCAAAACCCCCTGGACATCTCGTTTTCATACTTGTTATAATTTATCACAGTCCACAAACATATAAGCTGAACCTTAGGTGCCTGCTCGTCGTCCCCCATATTTTGGAAAAGAAAATGCGTGCGGGTCTGCTGAATTAGGCACAAAATGATGTTCTGTGATTTCACGTCAACTTAAATTGCCAAGCTAATTACAGATCATTAATATACTGGCGCTTAGATTAGACAAATATATAACTAAGTAGTGAACTGAGTACATTGACGGATTAGTTTCTTGGCTGCCATGTTAGGGTACAGAATTGCGCCGATATTACTGGCTTAGACACACTAGCTATATTGGGAATTGTATTTGCATATTCACAAATCGCAAACTGTGTATAATCTACAGGAATTTCCCAACCAATCAACAACCGTAACGTATTTTCGTGTATATGCAATGTCACAGAACAAGATTTCTTATCCTGTTCGGCAGACCATATCAACTCACTGCACGCAGGCTATCAAGCACAATAGTGTTAGTAGGTGTTACATGAAGTATATTGCCCTGGACAGTCAAAACAAAATGGCGGTCGATTTTATTCAGAAAATTTCTGATTATTGTGGATTTTAACAAAAATAAAGCTCATAGATCAATGATGTTCAGCTCGCATGATAAAACTAAGAAAGATGCCTTTGTCAACCGCAGTAAGGCTGCAAGAGATCAGAGAAATTTGGGAAAACAGCAAGAGAAAGCGGCTGTCAAAATACAGGTATCAGAAAATTCGAGGTTGTTTTGTTTCAATTTTTTCAAATATAAACACTTACATTATGTCCCCAGAGTGGCAGAAATCGTGAGATTTTGTGAAAAACCGTGTGATTTTAGAAATTTCTTCGGTTTTCTTAATATTATTTTTGGATTTAATTTTAATAATGCATAAAAAAGTCAGTAATTCTTTATTTAGCGTGCAATTTGAAAAATTTAAGTATGTTGAAGTGTCACTACACTCTAAATTATATATACTCATAGTATATTCATACAATCATACTATTTCCATAATATATATCCCAGTTTGGAAATTGCACGTCCGAGATTACGAAAGTTTAATAGTAAAGACATTGGAGACATCAAAACTGAACACCCGAGATCTCAGCTGCCAAACTTTTCAGACTGGAATATACCGATGGTATGAAAATGGCATTGGTATGAAAATTGGATTTCCATACTATCTTCAATGAAGATCCATACTCTTTCCCAAGGGCAGATTTTCATTTTTTTGAAAGGAGGGGTGGGAAAATTTCTAGTGGGGTGCAAGCGGCACCACTGAACGAGCTTTGACAGGGGTTAGCCGTCAGGGTTAAAGACTTTCACACAAAATAGGAGGGGTGAAGCGGAATTTTAGTGGGGTTGAACACTTTATAAGAGGGGTTAGCGAGATTCTAGGGGGGTGGGAGGGAGTTTAACCCCCCTAACCCCCCAGTAAATCTGCCCATGCTATTTCCATAGTAAGGATTTGGAAAAAAATCCCATTGCTATGTGTAAAATGTCTTTTCTTTCTTTAGGCCATAGTGAGATCGTATTTGGTGATAGTGAAACTGAGAAATCAAATTCGGTTAGTCTTTGCACTTGCTGCATGGTCTCACCCCCTGATTAGAACCACCCACCACAGACCACCAATTGATGTCCCAGGGGTGGTGAGACAGGTGGGGTTAGTCCCTCAATCACTAGAAAATGCTCATTATACCTAACCTGTAAAATAAGTTAAGGAATTCTCACACATTTTTACAGCTTATAAACCACTAACAAATTATAGCTACAAATTTTACAGTATTGCCTTTGGCGTCAATCTAAACATCTTTATTTGACATTCTTTACATCTTTTTAAATTTTTACATATTTTAGTAATGAAACCGACAATGTTCTTAAGTCTTCTGCAAGACTAACAGGTATTTAACTCATTAAAGCTGTAATGCACCCAAAGGGGGGCCCACCGAAAATTAATTAAATAACCAAAGGGGGGAAATTTTAAAAAATTCAAAAAATGCCCCAAACCACTCCAAACTTTCTGAAAATTGTTGAAAAGCATTTCTCTCATCAAAACAGTTAGTTTTGACTGATAAAAACATGTTTTAAAAAGTTTTGGTAAAATGCAAAGGGGAGACAACAGGCATCCCTAGGTCATCAAAGGGGGGTCCGGGACCACAGGAAATTTTTTAAAAATTCAAAAAGCACCCCCAAACTACTCCAAACTTTCTTTAAAAACGGGGCCCATGCACTGATGTGCCCTACTTTACTATTTTATTCTGTCTAAGGGAGAGTCTTGCACTTTAATGGCCTGGGGCCGATTGTTTGAAAGCTGATTAGCCTAACCCTAGGTTAACTTAAAATTCAAAGCAAACTTCCTGACAGCTTGTCTATAAATTTGGAAATGTTTTTTCACAAATCTTATCTGGATCAATAGGAGTTCACTTTTCTGATGTTTTGAAATAAACAGACATGCAGAAATACTCAAACTAATAGCCAATTCCAGCTTTTTAATTATGCGTGCAGGGGATGACAGGAAGTGAGGTATCAATATCATATTGCTGATTATGCTGAAAAATTTCGATAAAAACTGCCAAGACAACCGAAATATTTCAATATTTACAAGTATAAGCCAATGGTATAAGCTGTCACTCCATGTTTACATGATCGCCATTTTTATTTTTTCAGCATAATCAGCAATATGATACCTTTCTTCCCATCATCCCCTGCACGCATAAACTAAAAGGTGGAATTGCCTAAGTGTATAGATTGGGTTGAATTTTAACCGAGGGTTAATCCACCTTTGAACAACTGGTCCCAGATTAATGTTATGTTGTTGTTTTGCAAATGCCACTGTTTTGATTTTTGGCATGCATTGTTTTACAGGGGTTGGTCTCTTTCAAGCCATAAGAAGATTCTTATTTATTTTCCAAGAAGATAAGGACAAGGAGGTATTCAGTTGTTTCTGCTGAGGCCAAATAAAAATAATAGTTGGTTTCAGGTTTCTGACCGACCTGTCAAAAATATGACCGACCTGTCAAAAATATGACCGACCATAAACATTTTATTGACATTTCCCAGTAGAGATCATCTTTTCGTAAATAGCAGAATATATAAATAGTCATAAGACTAATTTTCTACAATTTTTCTCTTGAAATGTAACATGCATATTATGTGGAACAATGTGTGAAATTTCTGTAAGGAATTCCTAGTATACAAATAAACCAGGGTATTTTTTCATGTTATGGAAAGTACTGTTGATTCGTCTGGTTCTTTTTACTGATTGCTTGTTTTTTAATAGAGATTTCATTTGATATGTAAAACATGTCTGGAAAGCATGGAAGACAAAAATGCAAAGGTTAGATTTGAACGAGGTCTTTTTATCAACCAAATAGTTTGCCAGCACATACTGTCTGCACACTTGTCATGATCCCTTATGTATGTCTACTTTTTTGTTTGCTTCATATAGATATGGTATATTTATCCCGCATTAACGAAAGATTGGGCCTTACTATGGATAACACAGTTGAAAATACTTCTCGTCATTTGTTGCCGCTATCTCAAAAAACTGAAGGTATAATTATTGAGAAATCACATTTTAGAAATGAAAACGCTTGAAAGACTAGGAAAAGATATGATTAAGTAACTACAAGCAGCTGTAATTTCAACGATTTTGCTTGCAATATGCATAAGAAATGTGCTTAGCACATCTGTCTTTGTGTCACAGATTTATTAATTAAAATATGGCTTAAATTTACAGGAAAGGAATTGTCTAGTACAAACTTCCCACAAAACTTCTGCAAAACAAAAGTTTTCCGCCATCTTTTTTCTCAACCGTGGTCTGTAGTGTAATGGTCTATGGTCAAGTAGCCAATCAGAATACTGGATTTTGTAATAGACCATGCTCACCATGGTTTAGTGTGTATTAATAAGGAATCACCCTCACTGTCTGATCGGTATAAAAGTTCATATAGAGCTATCCAGTGTACACAAAATTCATTTTGTTTACTGTGCATGTATTCCACTTTTTACAGCCAGCGTCTGGAAGTGACAGCAAACTCATCAGTATATATTTAGGCATGGTAAGTATTCAGGAGCGTCGTTTGATACTGTAGTAGCGGTCTCAACGCAACAACCAAAATGGCTGGAAATGCCATTTCCCTTGCCCAAGGGTCTAAATTTCAAAATCTTTGCAGGGAAACGCGCTCCGTAGATGTGTGCTACTGTATATATTGGTGGGTTTCACTTGGCGGCACAAAATTTTAAAATTAACACAATGCTGAATGTTTGTTTTTGGTATATCGTCACCCTTCGAAAATAATGCTGATTCAGCAAAAATAAAATCTCTGTAACTCGAGAAGAAATACGTGAATCGACTCAAATTTCATAAAACTTCTTTCAAAAACCTATTACTTTAAATTCTATTGGGAACCCTGGGTCGAGACCTGAGTACCCTTTAGCCTTGAAATATCTTGGAAACTTAATATCTCTTTATCTTTTGAAGATTGCTAAATTTACTGATTGTAATTCTTGGAATATTTCTTTGATTAAAGGAGGTAAGATGAATCCGCGGAGATTGTCCCGCATTGTATTTATAGCAACTTTATTTTACAGTATCTCATTTACAGTATTTTATCTTTTTTATTATATTGATTATGTTTCATACTTACTAAATTAATAATTTATAAATTATAAATTAATTGTTCGTTTTATCATTGTTGTATAGTGCATGTCTATATTTGTATATTTTTATACAGTTTAAATATTGACAATTAATGTTGTAAAACACGTTTATGATGTGGGTATCCTGGAAAAGTATAAATTACTAAATTATTATCATTATCGTGGCGAATCTTAATAAAAAGTATCACTTATTAAACAAAAAAACTTGATGAACATATAATTCTGCTGTTTTCTAACTTAACCTTTTCTCTATACATGCAGGAGAAAAATGGAAACCAAGTTTGAGTCTTTTATGCAAGAGTATTTTAGTTCACTTGGAAAAGAACGAGTTTTATTCTTCACTGAGAGTAAGTTTCTGATGGCTACCAAGCTTTGTCAACCACTTGAAATTAGTTTTAAACAACTCGAAATAGAATGAGTGTTAGTATGGGTCATCAACAGGAATGTGGGATGATGAGAGTAGCTAATATTCTTTCCAGTTAACCAGGAAAGCTTTGATTAAAAGATTAAAACTAAACAATCTTTCTGAACAGGACCTTACGTTGAGTGGACTTTGTCGCAATGATCCCGCGCTACGGTCAACACAACTCGCTGCCATTTTAACATTATCTTTAAGGTAAGATGTTCAATTGAAGGTTCTGTGTTCTTCTTGTGTCCTTTGCTTCTTGGTTCGTTAAAGATAAGTTAGTAATTTTACTTAAAGATAAGTTGTCAAAGATAATTTGTGCAGAAGAATCTGTTGGAGAATATTTATTATCAAAGAACGTGTCTGGCTCACTGAGCTGTATACTGTAATATAGTATAGCTCAGTGGTCTGGCTTGACGATTTATTGGACTCTTTTCTTGTAGAGTTGCGGAAGGATCTGGATTTAACGAAAAGTCAATGAAATTATTTCAACTTAACATGATGTCAATTCCTGGATTGTTCTTACACGTGACAAACCTATCACCACAGGTGCTGTGTGTTTATACTTTAGAGGGATACAGCAAAAAAAATTAGGATCTCATTTGATAGAACTTTTAAAATTATGTATAAAACGTCTTGACCGATCTTTCATATCTATCTCTGAAAGATGTTCTTTGAACAGTCTTGGATATGTTCTTAATAAATCAAGTTCTTTAAATCCCAGCCTCGATATTCTTATATAAACGAAATTATTTACGTCCCAGCTGATGTAGTTCCCTCGAATCTATTGCGAATTGCATGCAAAATGTGACGTTTTATTCAGGCCTATAAGTGTATAAAATCTTTTTTTCTCCAATTGTATAGACATTGGACTTAGTGAAGCAATACACTTTGTTTTCACGAAGTTTGCAGTTTTTAAATACCGGCAACAATTGGAGCAGTGTGTTTGAAACGTTGCGTGGAAACTACTCCCTATGTTTACTCGGTAAGCTTTTTATAATCTTGGAAAATCTTAATAAGTAAAGACAGGAAATATTTGAACTGTTTTCTTTGATCGTTTTCGTGCTTTTCTTTTCTCTCGATAGATTTAAACTCGACAGAAAATAAATTTAACTGTTTCGTTCCAGAAACGGTTTTGTTACGAAACTAGCATGCTGGGGTCAGTCTCACAGTCAAGCCCCGTTTACACGAGCAAATTTTATTTGACAAATTTCATTTGATCGAAAGCTAGCATGCTAGCTTTTGTTCAAATGCATTTGTCACAATAAATTTGTCACAAACGAGCAAAATATCTTTGACATATGAAATTTGTCAAATAAAATTTGCTCGTGTAAACGGGGCTTCACTATAAAGACTGATTTACATACAGCACATACAAGGCATAATATATACATAATCAGCCATCGGTGGTATAAGCTATTCTGCAATCTAATTGGTTCAGCTACTCGTCGTGTATTTAACAGTTCCAAACTCATCACAACAACAAGTAGTACGAGCACAAGTTGTCGACAGCTTTTGAACAGATTTGTGGCAACTTGTTTGCAGACCTGTAACATCTTGTGCGTTTTTACGTGTGTACGCTTAAACACATTTACGTCCACAAACATCAACTATATTATAAATTGAAATACTATGCAGTTTTAAATTAACGTATACTAAATCTTTCAATTATATATTTGTTTGTTGTTTTCGTAGTGAAATGTACTGTATATTAATAAATTTTCTCGGCATTTTTGTACAAAGGCATTTTCTTCTTTCCTTTCAGCAAATCTTATTTATTTCATCGACATTGACAAAGAGGTAATTGTTTGATTTGATCTAAAACTCCACACGAGTGAACATGATTGAACATGAATGAATACGAATGAACACGAATGGATACTAGTGAACACGAGTGACATGATGAGATCCACAATATACTTGCAAGATGACGTACTAAACTACCAAAAGTTCTGTTGTCGGACATAAGAACCGCAGGCTCTGGGCACGAGATTGTATATACCACTGTGTTCACTCATGTTCTGACTCGTGTGGAGTTTTAGATCAGATCTAATTGTTTGGTTTCTAGAACTCTTGCAAAATCGTAATTTCCATGTTCCCGCGCAAACTTTGTCAATCAAAACTTTTTGTTTTGCTCAAAATAACATTTGTTGGCTTGGCATCAATCAAATCGTTCTGCATACGAAGTTTTTACCTCTTCGCATGTTTTCCACGGGCTTTATATATGGTGGCAAAATGGCTCCAGTAATAGAAAAGGCGTTAAATGCAATGATAGAACTACGCTCATATAGAGCACTAATACAACTACTTTCAACACAAAAGTGTTTTTTGAGCAAACAAAAAGTTTTGATTGACAAACTTTGGAAAAGAAACGTTTGGAAATCTAATTTCAAATGCATGCTTCACGGAAGCTCGCAAATGGTACACACGGTACATTTATCATTTGTAGACCTGGAACGATGCATGGGGATTGGGCGAAATATTTCCCTCAGTGATGATATTTCTCTCGGGGCCCCGAGCGGAGGTTCTTTAAATGATATATTATTCCGGAAGTTAACTTTATAGTCACTGTAAGTTGAGAATAAACTTGCTGAATAACTAAGCGAATACAATGTTTAATTTTATATTTATGCCTGCATGAGTTTTTGAAGTTGAGGTATAATATTCCAACATAATGAATGAAGACATGATCCGGAAACTCTGCGACAAGACTTTGTAAGGGACTCCGTGTCGTATTGCTTATAGTTTCCTTTGAGCCATTCTGTCACGAATGTCGTAATATTTTAACAGACTACCAACATTCACAATATCCACTATTTCTAAATTGTCTGACGAACACTTTTAATGACGAACGAAAACCGTTACTTCTATAATAATAAACAACAGGATCTATAACGGCGTTTACAAGAGCTAACGGGGCAGTGAAACAGACAGTGCGATAAAACTGAGTTGGACCTTCGAATCTGTTTATAAAGAAAGCTGCGATTGTCGCTGGCAACCAACATACTACAAAACTTCCAGCAATCATAAACAACGAACGTAATGCTCTGATCTCTTGGGAAGTCGCCTGTTTTTGACCTGTGATTGCATACCTCTGTTGCGCTAACTCTTTATTATGTTTTCTGCCTAAATTATACATGTACACGCACATTACAGTAGATGATGTTATATAGAAGGCCATAGAGTATCGTGAAATTTGAAGAAGTTTTATTTCGCCGAATAATCCAACCACGGCCACGACAAGAGTAAGGATGGCGACAAACCATATAACTCCGATCACAGTTACAGATCGTTCGAACGTCATAATTTTCGGATACTTCAAAGGCCTCAGTATGGAGACAAAGCGGTTCAGAGTCAAAAGGAAAATGTTTCCAGTGGTCGCTGAAACAAGGAAAGTGGTCACCGTCATAAAGATGCTGAAAAAGGAGTGGTAGATACTGTAAATGAAAAGCGCAGCGGACACTCCGCATAGCAACAAATCCGCACAAGCCAGGCTCAGGACAAAGAGATTCGCAGGCGCGTCAGAAAATTCGTCAGTCAGAGTAATTGACAGAATCAAGACGAGATTCTGTAGAAATCCGGCGAATCCAAAGAATGCGACAAAAACAACAAGACCGATAGTTTCTGCTTCGCTTAAGTACACGCTTAATGTGGAAGTCATTTCGTCCGATTCGAGAGATTCGTTGAAATTTGAAATGTTTGTAAAGTTCATTGTGGTAGTTCTTTTGCCTGTTTTCCTCTGATTAATAATTCTACTTTCCAGGGCTTGATGTATACGATTTGTATGGCTTGATTTTAAACGATAGATCTTTTGAGCTGCCGATACGTTGAATGCAGTTGTTCGCTATTAATATTTTCTTCCAATCTTTCTACTGTTGTACCCTGATGCTCTTTAATAAGTTGAACAAGAGACAAGCTTTACTAAAGGCGCTGCCAGGCCAAAGCGTTTAATGGACAATGCAGACAGGTGTGCGCAGTGTATGAATTGGTCAATTTCTTAATGATGAGGACGGAGACACCTTCAGTTGAACGCCCATGCATGTGAACGAATTGTTTTTTTCTGCATGAATCATAGACATAGTATGTGTATAGATAAACTTGTGGTTAGAGCTTGACAACTGGACTCTGTAGCTCAGTTGGTTAGAGCACTGCACCGGAATCGCAGCTTCGATTCCTGCCAGAGGGGCTGGTTAGGTCTATAATTATATGTATAAAATTTACACTTGAAATTTCTGTCATATATATATCATGAATATCATATCTAATTTCAATATATGTAAGATGCTGAAAACAAATATATAAATTTACGTGGTGTTTCCACAAACAAAACTATTATATGTTTTATCCCCATGCAAACCTACAAAGAACTTATTACGAATATCATAACTAAAAGTTACATGTAGGATGAAATATCACGCGTACATGATCTATACAAATAAGGGAATGCTATTGGCTACCTTAAGTCACGTGCTGTATTGTGACTGGCTGCACAGAACAATAATTCTTACATAAATCTAAATTATTCCAATCTCTGGGGCCAGGTGTATAAAAATAAATTAAAATTCAATTGTCGTGGGAAACGATCTTCGAAATACAAAAGAGCAGAACGACTGTCTATATACATTTCAAATTTCCAATCTCCGCGAAGACGATTGTATAAAAGGAAATGAACAATCATTTGATACAATTATCGTGGAAAACAATCTGCAAAATACAATGGCAATGGCCGTTGAATTTATTTGCCGCATGTGTTACATATAAGTTAAATTTGCAAAATGGTTCAAGCAATTTCTTGATAAGTGGCAGAAACCCAACTAGAAACATATACATGTAGGGCTTATAAATTATGGGTTTCCTCATAGACATAAGCGTGAAAAAAAGTCACATTGTACATTAATTATAATATAGTGAATATGTAGAGTTAATAGATATATTAATTCCCATTTGTAAATTGAAAAACAAATATTATAAAAGAAGTAGAAATGATTTAATAGACCAATTGCGAAACTTAGTGGCGCGCCTTCATACTGCACGAAAACGAGGCTTATTATGCAAAAACAAAACAATTTCTATATTTTTATATAGCGAAAAGTGTATTTTAGGGTTTTTAAAGTGTTTTTTCTTTAATCTCTTTGATCTTTTCTTAATATTTCGTGCTATAGGTTATACAAATATTTGTTAAATTTATCTAAACATCGATTTTCCACTATAGTCTATATTTTTACCCGCTTTGGAGAGATATTTCGTTGTTGTTTTAGCATGCGATGGAACAAATATATGGAAAAGATCAATCTAGACTTTAAAATCTGATCAAGATGCAAATAAAATAGCCAGTATAACTTAACAAACTATAATATAACTCTTTCTACCCAGATTTTTTTAGACTTCGTGCGAGAAAAAAACTGATTTTGTCAAAGGATAATAACATAAAATTTCTACAAATTTTGCCCGACATTTTCTTTCATATTTTTAAAGTTAAAATCGAAAACTTGCTATTATATTACAACTGAAACAAAATTAATCAATGTTACAACTTAGTCTTTGAAATGTACTAATAAAACAGACGGAAAATACCTGATTCTTTCTCTGGTATAATCTGCTTCTTTTATCGGACGGCGAAAAACAGCAAAACATTGCCTCGCACGCCGCGAAAAACAATGAAATTTGAAGTAAGACTTAAAACTATGAACAAGTTTAATAAAGATTTACATTGTCAAAACAGAAATATTGAAAAAAAATGAAGAGATTACCATAAAAACGCGTCTCAAACACTGAAATTCATTTTTCGCCATATAAAAATATAGCAGAATGATTTGTTTTTGCATAATAAGCCTCGTTTTCGTGTAGTTTAAGGCGCGGTCACTAAGTTTCGCAATTGGTCTATTGAAAATGAAAAGAGAAAATAGAATTCGCTTCCTTTAATATCATCACTGAAAGAAATAAAAAAGTTTGGTGCTTGAACACACATGCCGCATATAGAAAATTGTGTATATTTGTTCGACTAGGGAATACATGAAATGAGTTACAAATTGTTGTTTTGTAATCATACACTTAAATCTTAATTGGTTTGTTTTCAAAAATATTTTATTAGAGCTTTCGGTAACAAATTATAGCTTTATACAGATTTTTTCAATTTGGTCGAACGTTCGACGTGAAGATCTATAAATTTCAAAAAATTTTAATCCCTATAAGTAATGGATCAGTATATGTATCAAAAGGATTTTAATTTTATGCGAAGCAACATCTGTGAGTCTTTGTGGTTACATAAACAATGTTAAACAATGGGAAATGACCAGCCTGCTTTGCGCGCACTGTTTACCTGCGAATCGGGCCTTTCAGAACCGGAAATCGGGCTGGAGCACGCGTTCGTTCTTTTGAATTTTGATTTGGCAAATGAAGCACGACAAATGGGTGAAATGGCAAAATTCGCACAGTGCCCGGTTTGCAAAAACACCTGCAAACTGCTTTAATTCTTTCTGTCACTTTCATTTGATCTTATCCGCGCGAGTCTGCCTCAACGGCCTTTGATTTTGGCATTACAGATTTTTTAATTTTTGGTATAACGAAATACCCAGTTGTATACAATACAGCGTGTGAAAGTTGAACATAGGTCATCGCACGAAATAAAGAGATACAACGCATATCTTTTTAAACATTGGATTTTTTAATGGGGCCAGCACGGACATGTAATACGCTATACAGCGCGTACAATAGCGCGTGATGGCGTGAACAACTCACCATGTGTCATATTAGACGTTGTTATCTATTTAGTGTCAAAGTTCAATTTTTCTGTTTGCCGATTGGTCAAAACCGTAATCACGTGCCGGTCCACAAAACGTCATGTTAGGCAACCGGTCCACAATGAAACATTTATTGACCGGTCAATAATAAAATGGGCGCAATACGCATGCGTGTCAACGTTCCAAAGTCCATTTTTAAAACTTTTTATTAAACAGTTACGGCATAAATGGTTATCCAGTTTTGGTTTCAAATAAGTGTCAAAGTTTTGAATTATTCATACTTTGACACTTATATACTATATGCACTTATTTACTGAGACCTCGGGAAAGCAGTGTGTTTTGTGGCCCCTCGACCCACTGTTTGCTAAGCATAGAGTTTTTTCCCCGCAATTCTTGTATAAGGATTTTGTGAGGATTACTATATGCATGGAGCCATCTTAAATCATTGCAACTCTGTGGACACTGCATGATTACAAATTTAGGAGTGTATGGTATAAATTTAAGAAATATAGCAAGCAAAAAGCCTAAATTCAACACCGAACGCTTCCTTAGAATAGTCACAGAAAGAAGTGTACAGCTATTTATTGATAATTCCAATTATAAATTTCAACTAAATTTCAACTTAATTAAATTAATATAATTATTACCTCTATGCTATTTCCTTGAGTAACGTAACCTTCGTTTTCTCTTTCGCTTCACCCGTGTCTTATTGCTTATAGAGTCATTCTGTCACGAATGTCGTTAATAATATATAATATAATATAATATAATATAATATAATATAATATAATATAATATAATATAATATAATATAATATAACTTTAATGAGAAATTACAGTAGTGGTACCCTGGATCAGGGGGTTTCCTGTAGCCTGCACTCAGGCGGTGCTGGTCAAATTGGAAACCGGTAGTGGAAACTTGTATGGTAATATTTTAACAGACTACAAACATTGGCAATATCCTCTATTTCTAAATTGTCTGACTAACACTTTTAATGACGAACGAAAACCCTTACTTCTATAATAATAAACAACAGGATCTATAACGGCGTTTACAAAAGCTAAAGGAGCAGTAAAACAGAAAGCGCGATAAAACTGAGTTGGATCTTCGAGTCTGTTTATAAAGAAAGCTGCGATTGTCACTGGCAACCAACATACTACAAAACTTCCAGCAATCATGAACAGCGAACTTAATGATCTGATCTCTTGAGAAGTCGCCTGTTTTTGACCAGTGATTGCAAACGTTTGTTGTGCTAATTCTTTTTTATGTTTTCTGCCTAAATTATACATGTACACGCACATTACAGTAGATGATGTTATATAGAAGGCCATAGAGTATCGTGAATTTCGAAGACGTTTTATTTCGCTGAGTAATCCAACCACGGCCATGACAAGACTAAGGATGGCGAGAAACCATATAACTCCGATCATAGTCACAGCTCGTTTGAATGTCATGATTTTTGGATACTTCAAAGGCCTTAATATGGAGACAAAGCGGTTCAGAGTCAAAAGGAAAATGTTTCCAGTGGTCGCTGAAACAAGGAAATTGGCCACCGTAGTAAAGATTCTGAAAAAGGAGTGGTAGATACTGTAAATGGAAAGCGGAGCGGACACTCCGCATAGCAACAAATCCGCACAGGCCAGGCTCAAGACAAAGAGATTCGCAGGCGCGTCGGCAAATCCGTCAGTCAGAGAAATTGAAAGAATCAAGACGAGATTCTGTAGAAATCCGGCGAATCCAAAGATTGCGATAAAACCAGCAAGTCCTGCAGTTTCTGCTTCGCTTAAGTACACGCTTAATGTGGAAGTCATTTCATCCAATTCGAGAGATTCGTTGAACAGTGCATTATTCGGTAAAAAACAGATATTTTGAACAGTGTACACATACAATATCATGTCGTGGAAAACAATATTGAAAATACAAATCAAGAGCAGGAAGATTCATTTCCAATCTTTGGGGCCGGGTGCATGTGTAAAATAAATGAAATGTCAATTGTCGTGGGAAACGATCTTCGAAATACAAAAGAACTATATACATTTCCAATCTCCACGATGCCGATTGTATAAAATATTAAAAGGAAATTAACAATCAGTTGACAATTATCGGGGAAAACAATCAAAAATACAATGTCAATGAGTGTCAATTCCACATGTCTTGTGTTACATATCATATAAGTTAAATATGAGATAAATATACAAAATGTTTCGAATAATATACTAATAAATGGCGCGAGGAAACCCAACTAGAAACATATACATGCAGGGCTTGAAAAATATGGTTTCCTCATAGACATAACTCATAAATATACTCAATATATATATATATATATATATATATGTATGTATATATATATATATATATATATATATATATATATATATATATATATATATATATATATATATATATATATATATATATATATATATATATATATATATATATATATATATATATATATATATATATATATATATATATATATATATATATATATATATATATATATATATATTAAATAACACTTTCACAATATATATTTTAATGAATATATATACTAATATAGTCATAGAGTTCATAAATATATTAATTGACATTTGTAAATTGAAAAACAAATATTAATATAGGCATTATAGCGGAAGAAATTAATTTAAAATGAAAGAGAAAATGGAATTTAAGTCGCTTCCTTATTTAATATCATCACTGAAAGAAATAAAAATGTCTGGTGCTTGAAGACGTATGCCGTATAAAGAAAATTGTCTAATATTTGTTCGACTAGGGAACACATCAAATGAGTTACAACTTGTTGTTTTGTAATCATGCATGCTTATAATTGGTTTGTTTTCAAAAATATTTCATTAGAGCTTTCGGTAACAAACTCTATAGAGTGTATAGGCGTATAGCTTAATTTATAGTCCTACAGATTTTTCCAATTTAGGAACGATCAACACGGGGATCTGTAAATTTATAAAATTTTAATTCCCTAAGTAATGGATCAGTATATGTATATCAAAAGGACTTTAATGTACAAATACTAAATTCTAACACCAGAATTTCGAAAGATTTATACATGATGAAGCCATATAAAATCGTGGCTCATTATATAGAGACTTTGAAGTTTGCCAAGTTTGCAGATCATGCATATATCTCAATTGACTATATATGGCTTCAATCAGTGGTACAGAAAGCAGTCCTCACAACATTCTACATTGTCATTGCCGAGGCAAGTTTTACCGTTCAATAGGCAATTCCATGCAGCTTTTAATTTATACGCGCAGGGGAAGTAATTAAAGGATCTTATTTTTCACCCTGCTCGGTTTCCTTTGTTCTTATCGGGGAATATATTCAATATTCCACTCTATTCAATTTCCGTTTAATAATCCCCTCTAATATTCACCTGCAATTAATAATCCCCTGTAATATTCACCTGCAATGTCTTTGCAGCACAAAAAATGAGAAAAAACAACATCGCAAAAGCAATATGGCATTGAGAATTATTTCTTTTCTGACTCATTAACGCGACCTCGCATTGTGAAAAATAAGTACGTTATTTTGAGGCACCTCGGGGATATGTGATTTATTCACCTCGGCGCTGCGCGCCTCGGTGAATAAATCACATATCCCCTCGTTGCCTCAAAATAACCTATACTTATTTTTCACCCTGCTCGGTTTCCTTTGTTCTTATCGGGGAATATATTCAATATTCTCCTCTAATCAATTTCCGTTTAATAATCCCCTCTAATATTCACCTGTAATTAATAATCCCCTCTAATATTCACCTGCCATGTCTTTGCAGCACAAAAAATGAGAAAAAACGACATAACGAAGGCAATCTGACATTAAGAATTATTTCTATTCTGACTCATTAACGCGACCTCGCAGTGTGAAAAATAAGTACGTTATTTTGAGGCACCTCGGGGATATGTGTTTATTCACCTCGGCGCTGCGCGCCTCGGTGAATAAATCACATATCCCCTCGTTGCCTCAAAATAACCTATACTTATTTTTCACCCTGCTCGGTTTCCTTTGTTGTTATCGGAGAATATATTCAATATTCCCCTCTAATAATCCCCTCTAATAATGAATCCCCTCTAATATTCACCTGCAATGTCTTTGCAGCACAAAAAATGAGAAAAACAACATCACGAAGGCAATATAGCATTAAGAATTATTTCTATTCTGACTCATTAACGCGACCTCGCAATGTAAAAAAAATAAGTACGTTATTTTGAAGCAACGAGGGGATAATTATGTGTTTATTAATAAATCACATATCCCCCCGTTGCCTCAAAATAACCTATACATATTGCTGATCACGCTGAAAAAATAAATTATAAAAATGACGGCCGTGTTAACACAGAGTGATGGCTTATACTTGTAAATATTGAAATATTTCGGTTGTTTCGGCAGTTTTTAATGAAATTTATCAGCTTAATCAGCAATATGATACCTTACTTCCCTTGGAATTGTCAATCGCCGAGGTAATTCTACCATGCATGCACACACTGACTGTAAAAATTGCCAAAGGCAAAGAACGTCGGCAATTGCAGTGTTGCCGAAGCCAAAATAGAGAAATTCAGATTTGACTAATCGGATATATCAAACGCATCTGATTGGTTAATCGGATTTATAATATAACATTTGTAAATTCTGAACGCTTATTGGCTAATAAGAGCTGTGTTGTATAACTCAATGTCAACACGGAAACGTCGGAAAACCTCTTTCTTTATATTTCTTGGTGCTATGTTATAAAACAAATATAAAACATTTTCCGTATTGATATACAGTTATATCAACACTCGTGGGAATTGGGAAAACTCGAAATTGTGTGAAAACACTCCGCCCCTCGGGCGTCGTGTTTCCACACAATTTCTCGTTTCCCCAATTTCCACTCGTGTTGATATAACTGTATATCAATACGGAAAATGTTTTATATTTGTTAAATACCAAACGCATCTGATTGGTTAATCTGATATATGAAACGCATCTGATTGGCCGATAGTCTCTTAATGGTGGCGGTGGTGGAAGACAAATTTGAACCTCCCTAATAACTTAGTTACAATGACTGATTAAGGTCGTAACAGTATCGGATAGGGCCAACTTATATTGGGCTCTTTTTATGATAGGTACTCTTAAAACTTATCACTCAAGCTAACTGCCCCTTTCCCTGAATTCTCAGCGGTCCTTACTGTATTGCGATGACTTAATGACATCGTATATAAAATGCTTGTAAATAATATAATCAAACTATCATTGTCGATATTTGAAATTAACCTTAGGTTTGCTCCTTATATAGGCTTTTAAATCGAATATCCCAGAATTTTTGGTAAGTGTTTTTATTATTTATACACTCAAAAAACTCCCTGGTTAAAATGTTCCTGGTTAATCTAAAAATCCCCCTATTTGGATTAACTTAAAGGCCTTATGCATGCAACGAATTTTTCGATGGTGAGACTTTTGCATTACGTTATAGAGTTTTTTGCATTGGTTCGAAAGATGCAAACCGTTTTCCGAAACTCCAAGTAGGTTTTTTTTTATAAGCCTTCAAAGTCGCGAATTTTGCCACTTTCTTTGCGAAAAAAAACAACCTTTGGTGATCGGTGGTGTGACGTCACGGTAAGGAGTTGTTTTCGACGGACCTTATGTAAAACGTCTTAATCCTTCGTTTACACACAGCACGACTCATCTTCTGTGACGTCACAGCGCGAACCAGTTTTTCGCAAGAGGGACCCAACACAAAATTCACTAACTTCTAGTTTGAATTTCGCATCGAGACTGGTATCGAAATGATCAGAAAAGATGAAATTTTAATAATGTGCAAAAATCTCACCATCGAAAAATTCCTTGCATAATGCCTTTAATATTCCTGGTTACATTTCTTGGTTATTTTACCTGACTTCCTACCATATATAGTCATGGTAACTACCATGGTTAATCTAACCAGTAAGGTAACTAGGAATCTAGTTATATTTGAGCAGGACGTCCAGGTTAAATTATCCAGACTATATCCTTGCAGGGCTCAAAATAACGGTCAAAATGACCGGTCAACTTGATTTTAGCTCGGTCAAAATCGGTTTTTGACCGGTCATTGATACGCTTACACTGACAGTGAAACAAACTGTTAGAAACTTGTTTCGATACACCGTAGTTTCATGTTTTAATTCAAGACGTCAGCAATCACATTGGACCGGTGAGGTAAAAAAGTGACCGGTCAAGAGGCATTTTTGGCCGGTCATTGTCCGTTGACCAGCCGTTATTTTGAGCCCTGCCTGGGTTGCGAAACGTGGAAAAGCATTCGACGCATGGAAAATAGACGGGTTCCCGACAGGGGGCTATAGCCTCGCCCTCCCCCCCCCCTGTGACGCCGCTACTGCAAGAGATTGACTTAGTGAATTTTCTATTAGCTGCACATTTAATCTGTGTTTTATTAAATCAATGTTTCATATCTTCTCACATAGTCAGGGGTGACAAAGATTCTGGCAGACCTTCGGTCGTTCGTGTCAAAAGACAAATCGTCACTTGCAAGTTGGCATCCTATATTTGGCTGGTATAAAGAGACTTGTGATTCGCAGTTGAATTCTTCTATCAGACATGTGACAAAACAACTTCAAGTACTTTGGAAACGAAGTACGATCGAAGTATTGTTTCAATCTCTTCCGCCATTGCAGCTGGACGCTGAGAAAGCTACAGCAAAGAATAAAGGTATTTTAAGACACATTTAGAATAATTCGCGTCATGGGCAAAAATCATGGACATGATTATTATTTATTCTACTTCCTGAGTAATTTGCATATCATAAAATGATCATGTTTTGTGATCATCGATGTATAACCTGTGGGTAAAGACCTACCTAAAATGATCATGTTTTGTGATTGGCTTTCAGAAACAAAAATGATCATTGTTCGTGACTCGTTCTTTAGAAAGATTTCTATAGTTTTATTGTCTTTCATTGTTATAATCAACCAACCACGAGCTTGGATAGTATAGATAGATGATGACCCTAACCTGTTGAAATATGGCTTGATCGTCTTTGAAAAACTTACTCGTGCATGTTTTTCCCAAATTATCACTAAAAACCTTACTATTACCTCTACATTTTAGCTGTAGATGGTCGTAAGAAGCTTCTCGCTCGATTAATAACTGGTAGATTCACATCAAGACAAGAAACAAACCTGTCTTCACCTGAGGTCGTACAGATCCGCAATACTTGTGTCATGTTTGAGCTGGTTCTCAACTCGTTAAGTCAATTGAAAATGGATGTATTAACGGGTAGGTTTGTTAAAAAACTTTTTATTATTTTTTTGTGTTGTTCGGTGTACTCAGGTGTATATGATGTTTGTGATGTTACTCTGAGTGTATATCCACACCGGGCAAGCTTGAAAAGTATGCCTGGCCATGGTGGCATTGATATCGAAGAAACCAGACTCAGTTCCGAAATATCAGTTGGCAGAGCATTGGGCTAGTATTCCAAGGGTCTTAGGTTCGATTCCCACCGTGGTCAGGCATATTTTTCAAGCTTGCCCGGTGTGGATATACACTCAGAGTAACATCACAAGCATCAAACTTTATATTGCTACCAGTTGAGACTTTCCTTCAACTGTGTTTATCGTAACCCACCCTGTCAACTTTCCCTGTGGGAGGAAACCGGAGCACCCGGAGAGAAAATCCACGACTTTCGACAGAACGTTAACTGACTCTTTTCACATGAGTCCGTAGCGAGAATAGAACCCACGATCTCAGATCCACTTCCTCCGCGGTCTTAGGCAGCCAGCCGTTTTTTGAACGGCCAATTTTGATTTTAAGATAGCAGAATGAAAATGGCGGCTTTTGAGTGGCCAAGAATGAAGTGAATTTGCTCATTTATCGCACACAAGACATCCCTTTAGCAATTAACACAACCGCAGTCGAATTGCGATGATTAGTTAAATATTTCGAACTGTTATTCGACTATTATTAAACTATTATTAAACTTTTTTCGATTATTTTTGCACTTTTCGTCCACCATTTACATTATTTCGAAACTCCATGAGTTGTGTGTTAAGTCATGAACAATGGAAAGAAAATTGACAGAAATATACAGTCATATGGGGCTGGTGGTATTTATTGTATTTTAGTGACAAATTACGATTATAGACTTCCAAACCACAATAATTTTAGCCCTTTATAGTTTTTAGAATGCATACCACCTTGTGACAGTGGTATTGCCGAATATAATATGCAACACCCCTGGCCCACAAAGGCTATTCGTCAGTCACATGGCTCAAAATAGCCAATTCACCCAGTTTTCAGATCCTGGCTAAAACCCTGACTTGTTCTGCATGACGACTCCGCCACCGAAGCTCCTAGCCCGGTTATTTGTTTTACTTAATTGAATCCAATGTAACCTTTTATTTATAGGTCTGAGTTTTAACGAGGAATTTCTTCTACGTCTGCTCAAGTTTTTACAAGAGTTGGGACCAGATGGTGGACTGAGTTTAATACTGAGTTATGTTTCGTCAGAAAGTTCACAAATGTCCACATCCATCCAGTCGCTGCTGATCTTGTTTTGTGATTGCTGTAGTCATCTCATCCCGTAAGTAAAGTAGAAGAAGCTAAAGCAGGAATGCATGCCAGTATCGTATTTGCGACAACATTTTTTCATATAATAGTTTTATTTGTGGAAACATCACGTAAATTTATTACTGCAAATAAACAAAAAACTCATAGATATTATAAAATATTTATTATTGTCAGCTTTCTACACAGCTTTCTATACCTTCTAGGTGTAGAAAGCTGACAATAATAAATATTTTATAATATCTATGAGTTTATGTAAAGCTTTCCTGGCTGCAACGGCAGATATATCTAAAAATTGCAAATAAACAAACTTAAAATAAATAAATAAACACCACGTAAATGTATTACTTATTAATTTATTATTAATTTATTACACTATTGTTTCCACAAACAAAACTATAAAATGTTTAACATTTTTTCAGTCGTTAATTAATATTTCTTTTCGCACTTTAGAATTAATGTACCGTAATTTGTTAAATTTTTCGGTAATATTTTCGTAAATTTATCAAATTCTTTGCTATAACTATTATTTTTTAATCCGAACATTGCCAAACCGAATGCCGGTAGACGTAAACAATTTTAAATTCAGCTGGCCAGAACTAAGCCCGTTAATTCTTCGTTTTAGTCGCAAAATATGCTACCACGCCCGCTAAAGTTATTTATAATAATTGTTAAATAAAGAAGACAAATGAAATGCATGAAAGTTAAATACTGCATGACTAATATAGTAATTATTTTTTCAGTATTGTTGACGATTATGAAATGTACGAGCAACAAAAACCGTTCAGCCTTGAAGATCTCACAGCTTTATCTGGATTTTTAAACACCTTGAACTACAAACTATTGTGGAACAGACCACGGGCAAAAAGTAAGTAAGATTTCGTCAAAAAGTGCATCTACATAATTATGTTGATTCTGCCCTTGCAAGTGAAACATCAGGCGATTGTTTGATTTCCACCATTTTGGTTGTCATTTAAAGCTAAATGAAAATATACACGCAGGACTGTAGTGACCGGGTGTGTGTGGGAGGAGGGGGTAACCCTCCCCCCTCCCAGGACTGTAGTGACCGGGTGTGTGTGGGAGGAGGGGGTAACCCTACCCCCCCCCCCCCGGACTGTAGTGACCGGGTGTGTGCAGGAGGAGGGGGTAACCCTACCCCCCTAAATATCTAAATATTTGTTCATGAGTAATTTCAGGTAAGTTAAGGAGTGACTTAAGCTGATTTTCAGGTAAATTATAAGAGTACTGACTGGCAAACATGGAAGCAGGGCCGCCGAGAGGGGGGCAGGGGGGCAAATTGCCCCGGGCCCCCAGGTTCTGGGGGCCCCCAAAAATTTTTGTTGGGCCCCAGTAAGTTAACAGTGAACTGACGCTACAAGAATGCCACATTTTAGGTGCATTCCCTGGCTTTTTGAGAGTCTGGATAGTAAAAGAATTCCCTGAACCTCCCTATGGTTGTTCCAAGAAAATATTTTGATTTCCAAGAAAGGATTTTCAGTTTTGGTTGGCAGAACGTAACAGTAGGATTGGCAAAAAAATAGACCAGTATTAAGTGAATATATATTTGACCTCAAAACTTAGTCTTTGGTTTTCTTGGTCATACTTATATTAGTTTAGTGAAAATTGCAGCATCCTGATATCAAACATGTTTTGTGTGTAGAGAATGCGGAGATGGTGAATTTACTAGACAATACAGACAATATGTTGTCTTCAGTGTATCAACTTCTGATGCTCATTTACGACAGAGATTCCAGAAGACGCTTCACACCCGAAAACCACTGGTTAATCAAGTAAGAAAGCTGGGGTAATATTTGTAACCCCGTATCTGTGCCACCAACCCCGGCTTAAATAGCCATAAACTTAGGCCCCGTTTACATGAGACCGGGACGAAGTCAAACCGGAATGAAAATTGAAATTGTCAACATGTTTACATGAGACCGGTACGAGGATCACAAAATCTTCAATTTATTCCCCTTGCCAGGCAATTTTCTTTTTCAGATGGCTTTTGCTAGCATGTGTTGTTCCAATGTCAAGATTACAGCTGAGACCGGTCTGAAATGTATTTGTGTTTACATTCATCCCAGTCTGCATTCATGCCGGTCTGAAGTCAGTCGGTTCGGTCCAGAAGGCGGAATGACTTGAGACCGGTCTGAGTTATTTTCGTCCCGGTCTCATGTAAACATCTATTATATAGATAATACTATGACCGAAACGAGATGGTCCCGGTTTGACTTCGTTCCGGTCTCATGTAAACGGGGCCTTAAACATGAAGTTGTGGTTCGAGTTCGACAACTGGCCTCTGTAGCTCAGTTGGTTAGAGCTCGACAACTGGCCTCTGTAGCTCAGTTGGTTGGTGCTCTACAAGTGAATCGCGGAGCCGCAGGTTTGATTCCTATAGGCAAGGAGATGCAAATAAATCACCACAGCTAGAAAGAGCATACTAAAATTGCCAAGTTTGGTTGTGAAATGTTGTAAAATGCGGAAAATATAGCCTTGCAAAGTTTGCAAATTTTGTATACTTTTGTATTTACACAGCTCAAACATGGCTACAATCATTATAACATAGTATATGTAAATGTGTCATTTGACAAATATACTTTATGTTTTAATATAGAGAGTTAAAGATTAGCTTATTCAAGTCGGAGCTATCGACAGGAAAGCCAAGAGCTATTGAAATATTGCAAATGATTCCTCACATTGTACCACACAGGGAGGTATGGGCACAAGCTGACCAAAAGTGAAAAATTATCGATGTATCACGTCAAAGAAGTGTGCGTGATTTACGCATTTCTAAATACATGGCGAGAAATAAGGGTCACGCATGCGCATAGAACTTGCTGACTTAGGAATAGTTTGATCAGATTTCTTATATGAGATTTATAAGAGTTACACTGGGAAAATGTCACATCGTTTCAACCCATTTCCACTCGGGGAAATTTTCCGCAGAAAGGAAATTTCGTAAAATTTGATTGGCCGACACAAATTTTCCGTCGGAAAAATTTTGTAGTTGAAAATTAACAATGATATTTTCGGAAAATTTTCTGCCCGTGGAAATTTTTCTTGAGTGGAAATATGTCTTTAGAAATCGTACAGAATATATAGTTCCTGAATATTGCAGGAAACTTTGATGGATCTTACTCGAACACCAAAGTTTATAGTCTTCAACCCGGATTATTCAAATATATATCGTTGTATACTTGTTTCAGTCTGATTTAGCTTAAAGAATTATCTTCTGAATTGTTCACATCATATTCCATCGCTTTAACCTTAAAGTTTGAGCATTTTCTGATCGTCGAATGAAGACTTTTACAAATTCAGAGTTTTAGAATCATTAATTTAAATAATGTAATATAAATAGATAATCTATTATTGAACGCATAATTCCATGTCAACCCAAACATGTGCTTTGAGGTGTTCATGTTATTTGCTTTATATTTAGCGTGTAAAAATCTTCCGAAATTTGGTCCAACAAGACAAGATGTCTCTAGGGATATCCAATGATCAAGATGACTTCAGTGCTAGCTGTATATTTGTGAAAGTTCGTAGAAATCAGCTGCTAGAGGTTTGTCAATTCAAACATACGTTTGTATGTATTTCATCCAATCAATCAATCAAAAACATTTATTTAAACACGATTTAAAAATGAGCAGCAAATTGCCGATGTGGTCGTGTGTCTACCAGTATAGAATATCGATTTACATATGCTATGCTAAATATGCATAATTTATATATAAATTAAATATCTTATGGTAGATAAGAATATAACTAGAAAAGTTTAAAAATAAATATAGTTAATAAAGATCATTATTGTAAGAGCTAAAATCCATTGCTTCAAGATCTTGATGCCCCCTTGTTGATCCCTTTTCACCTAACCATGTTAGCATGGTTAGATTCATCTGAACTTTTTTTATTATTTTCGCCTTAACCATAAGAAATTAGGATTCATTTTAGGTTTTCTTTTAGGATGGGTACAAGCAATTGTCAAAAATTCCAATCCAAAAGCTGAAAGCAACGATCAAGATAAAATTTGTCAATGAATACGTACGTAAACGTAATATTTATACACTATTACTGTCACTGTTGTAATTCACAACATTTTGATAACTTCAGAGAGATAGTACGTACTTACAGAGGTCTCACTTTTGCGGGAAAACCGAAAGCTAGTGTTTACCAAAATAGCTGACGTCTATTCTTAATTATTAAGCGCGTTAATTCTAATGGAAATACCCATAAAGATGAGCTGCTCATATTTAACTACTACTTAGTACGTACTGTAAACATACGTATTTTATTCTTGCAATGTCATTCTTATCAATTTAATTTGATATATATAGGGATTAGATGAAGCTGGCATCGATCAAGATGGTGTTTTTAAAGAATTCTTAGAGGAAACAATCAAACAAGCATTTAATCCACAGCTCAATCTATTCAAGGTACGAGCTTTTGTTTACTTTTATAAAATTGATCTTGCATTTTTCACTTCAAGAAACGTACTAGGTTGGCCCCAACCCCGTGCAAATTCCTGGAAATTTTTGGTTGTGATTTTTTTGTCTTTATTTTAGCTCACTGAAAATCAGCGACTTTATCCCTCGCCAACCTCATGTATCCATGACAATCACCTTGCTCTGTTTGAGTTTGTTGGCAAAATGTTAGGAAAAGCTGTTTATGAGGTAGGTAGGATCTCCTCTTTGCACGCAATACACCCTTTCGATAATTACGTCACAACTACACTGTTTTCAACTTAGGACCGCCTTAAATGGAAAGTATTTCAAGTTTTTTTCTCATGGGCTATGCACAGAGAAGCAGAACATCCTTCTTCAACACATGCATGAAAAAAAAAATTGAATTTTGATCAATAAATATGGAAATAAGCTTCAACACGAAAACGAGGCTCCAGGTCATGATCTGGAGCCTCGTTTTCGTGTTAAAGCTTATTTCCACATTTATTGGTCAAAATAAAAAAATCTTTTTCATGCATGTGTTGAAGAAGGATGTTCTGCTTCTCTGTGCATAGACCATGAGAAAAAAACTTGAAATCCTTTCCATTTAAGGTGGTCCTAAGTTGAAAACAGTGTAGTTGTGACGTAATTATCGAAAGAGTGTATTACCGGTACACCTATATCAACAGTTTGATAACTAGTTCATTTCTATTTCCTAGGGTATTGTCGTCGATGTTCCATTTGCGCCATTCTTTCTCAGTCTTCTGTTGTCACGTCAGCACAGCGCATTATACAGTTCTATTGACGAACTTCCTTCCTTTGATCCAGACCTCTACAAGAATCTCAACTATGTCAAGGTTTGCGTTTTAATCGTGATTGAGTCAAAGATTTTCCGAGGGCGTCTCAGTGCTTCCACTTTCATGGAAATTTCCATATTTTTTGGCTCCGGATATATAATATGGAGCTCATTGGTGGTATATGCCTTTAAAAGATTGGGGCCGAGTTGTTTTCATGGTGGGATTGTTTAATATAAATGGAATCCTTGTTATTATTTACATTCTGCGTTATTGAATATGAAGAATTCTCTGTTTAGAATTACGAAGGTGATCTGACTGATCTGGGTTTAACATTCTCATTTGATGAAGATTTTTTAGGAAAAGTAAGTGCTATCTGTGGTTTTATATAAAACTATGTTGTCTAAACCATTATATTAGAGAGATTAAACAATTAGATCATTCGCTCTCGGTGCGATGTACCTCGTCAGCTATTAGCTCATACAATCTGAGCTCATGGTATAATTGGTAAATATTCTATATGATACGGGCATCTTCCTCGATAGAACAGGATTTTGAAGGGTATAGTTTTTCCCGAAATTTACATCTATATAAAGAGTGCAATGTACCGTTACTGATTGACTTGTAATGTTTTGATCCAGGTTATAACGCATGATCTGAAGCCTGGTGGAAGCTGTGTCGACGTCACAGATGAAAATAAGTAAGTGATTACTTTTTTACAATTATGCCACCATGATATCAGCTCGTATACGACGAGAATTATATGTGCACGGTTTCCCGTAAGAATGAGTTTTCCAAAGTTTTGGATTGGGTAAACAACTTTATTGTTTGTAGGATAAGCTATATTCATCTCATGGCTCACTATAAGATGTGTGTGCAGTTACGAGATCAGAGCAGAGCGTTCTTTCATGGCTTTCGAGAGTTTATTCAGCATGATTGGCTTGGAATATTTTCTGGTCCTGAATTACAGAAACTGATCTCTGGTGATAGCACTTCACTGGATGTCTCTGATCTACGGTATGTTGAATTTTTTTCAATTTCTATTGTTGGGAATATTTCAGCTTGTTTTATGACGATATTCGCACCCAATAAGTATACCCCGCGAGTTTTCTCCGGGTTTGCTCACACATGTTGGCAGAGCTGGTTGGGATAAGCCTCATACTCTCCCTTCCACCGTGGCTGTGCCATTGAACTATAAATAAACTGGAAGGCTAACTCAGGGGGGGGGGGGAATTGAAGCCAGTGCATTTTAGTTTTTCTGAGTTATGAGCAGAAATACTCAACACTGAACGTTGGGCTATATATCAAATTGAAGCTATTGAAAAACGCTATTTGGTGTAGAAATTTCAAGACTTTAGCTAAAAGGGAAATATTGAAAAACTACAAACATAATTATCGATAATTTGCCGTTTTGCAGTTGTTTTTGTATTTTTTAAATATTTTTCTTTTCGCTGAAGTCTTGAAATTTCCACACCGAATAGCAATTTTCAATAGCTTCATTTTGATATATAGCCGAACGTTTGGGGTCAAGTATTTCTGCTCATAACTCAGAAAAACTATTTTGGCTTCGTCAAATCATAGGCCTTCATCATAGCAGTTAGCCTTCCAGTTTATTTATATAGTTCAATGGGCTGTGCTCCATGATCAGACATAGTCATATTATCAAAATCTATCAAGCGGTAAATTGGTACCTTGAGAGTTGCACACGCATGCAGTGTTGACTCTGAATGTAAATTGCGTAGATTTTTAACTTTCTATTAAAAGTATGTTGACACACAAAATAAATAGAGGATATTACACGGCGGCGCGAAGATATGACTTTTATCTTCGAGTGGTGAAAACAATATTTTACGAACGAGCACAGCGAGTAAAATATTGTTTTTAACATGAGAAGATAAAAGTCATATCTTCAAGCCACCGTGTAATGTTCTGTTTATTATATAATCCCAAGCTGAAAATTGTCAAATTTCACGTTCAAAAGCAAATTGAAAAAAGTCACGTGATCGATATCTTCACTAGTGAAGATATGGAAAATATCTCAGTGTGTATTTTTCAGTATCTCACTCTCTACTATATAATAAGTAGCATTATGTTTGCATCAACAGTTTTAAAGCAAACACAGCGAAACAAAGCATGTGGAACAGAAATTTGTGGGAAAGAATTTTAAAGTTTCTTTCCAAAAACACGATAACAATTCATGTGTAATAATCCATGTTTGACCGCAATAATTATGTTTCTACAGAGCCAACACGACATACTATGGTGGATATCACAACAAACATCGGGTTATTAATTGGCTCTGGGAGATCGTAGAGAAAGACTTTAATGAATCTGAGAAATCTGCATTTTTAAAGGTAATAGTTCTATATTAAACAATTGTAGTTCACACACATAAAAATAAGCAGTGTTTTGGAAATCTGTGTGTGTTACTGAAATATAACAGGATATAGGTCCCTTGATGGAGTTTTAAGTTGTTGTGAGTTTCATCGTTTGTGTTATATTAGTTTGTTTTGATTGTTAAAATTATCAGTGTAATTGTTAAGTTTAGTTGTTTGTTTGTTCATAGTTTGTCACGAGTTGTTCAAAGCCTCCATTGCTTGGTTTCGCTCATCTTCGTCCGGAATTTTCAATCCGCTGTGTCGAGACAACTGATGACGAGGTAAGATCGGTTACAGTGCTGTTAAAACCAACTGAGCTACAGAGGCCTGTTATCGAACTCTATATACAGCTATACGTATATATATAGTTGGATTTTGTGTTATAAAGTATTCTCTTTGTATTTAAATAACATGAGAAAACAGTGAAAACACAAAAAGCAGAATGAAATATTTGAGATACTGAGTTATTTCAAGGCTTTAGAATTATTTTATAACCTTCTATTTAAGGACGAAGGTGATTCGGTGGGCAGTGTCGTTCGGGGGTTTTTCAATATTGGCCGTCGGAAAGTCTCCGCTAGCAGGCTACCTACATCTTCGACATGTTTTAATCTTCTGAAACTTCCAAATTACGCCAGGAAAGAAATTTTAAGAGAAAAACTACGATATGCTATTCAGTCACATTCTGGCTTCGAGTTATCTTAACCTGTCCTGTATATGTAAATAAATTTTGACATAAATGTGAATATCAGTCCCAGGCACTTGTTGGAACAACTTAATTGTTGCAAGTCAACTTGTTCCAGACTTGAAAAGGGGGCAAAAAAGTAACGACATAGCCTTAACTTTTCGTCCCTTTTTAGTCACTTTTTCATTCTTGAGAAAGGGGCAAAAAATGGCAAAAAGTAAGACTGTGAGCCTTAACCTTTGGTCCAAAAAGTAAGGTCGTGAGCCTTAACCTTTGGTCCAATTTTAGCCATTTTTTCTATTATTGAGAAAGGAGCAAAATTTGGCAAAATAATAATTATAATAATAATAATAGTAGGGTATATTTAAAATACATTCGCAATAATACAAGTAATAGTGAATTACAGTATTTTTACAAGCATGAAATTATGAATACTGTTACCAGTTACTTCTTAAAACTAGGAAATAAAGTTAAATAAAAAGATGGTAATTTAGATCATAAACCTAATTGACAACGGTCATGACTTGTTCATGGTACGTGAGCACATAGCTGGAAAGAAACTGTTCTTAAATCTGTCCGTCCTACATTTAAATAGGCTAAAATAACTAGAGTGGCGCAGTTCTCTGCCATGCGACTCAACCCGTAAAACATCATCGCGGTTAAGGCGCGATGATGGTATTGCTATTTTATCCAACACCTTCTTACAGAGGGTATCACGACGGTCAGATAGACGGGGAACAGAGGAGGTAGCAAGCACAGCTGACTAGGACATGTTTGGATATAAAATCTGTAGAGCACGGCGTTGAACCCTCTCGATTTTATCAGAAAGGTAGGAGGGGATAGATGTACTCCAGGCTGCACAGTAGTATTCTAGATCACAGTTTCCTCATGACATTTACCAATAGCGTTTAATGCTGTTACGTGCACGTTGGTTATCGTATTGTCTAGGCTCTAGCTCACATATTAAACCGGTCTTTGAAGCTTCTCCGTTTCACTGTTTGTTTAGCATCGCCAGGAGGCCAGGCATGCTTTACAAATGCTATTTGTAAGTGAAATGGAGAAGGAAAGGTCGTCTTACACTCTAACTCCTTACGTACAGTGTCCTTGCTGTCCAAGAAATTAATATTGCTTTTATTCGACGGGACTTTGAAGTAAAGAACAAATTTGTATTGCACAAAGCCTGCCATGGAACATTTTAATAAGTGCCAAATGAAAATTTACATTCACGCACGCTTCAGAAATTTGAATAAATTGAAGTTAATTTACCCAAAACGTAAAACGGATATTTATTTATTTATTTATTTATTTATTTATTTAGCTTCGCCTATAATTACACAATCAAACAACACGTACACACAACCATTTCTGTCCAACCCAAAAACGAGCAAACTTCAGCGCCCCCTGTCTATGTTTCAACATGATAGTAAAAAACATACACCCTTGACCGCTAACCTAGGACGGTTTAATTTTACAATTATATTCATTTTAGAATAGCTTGATTTTTATGAGCCCAACATGACTTGGCATAGACCTAGACAAAACATATCGAAACACAGCAAATACGCCCAGCCTCCACGTTTCAAGGTTGGACAAAAAGGTGACAACAACAAAAAGGCGGGGTCACCACAACAGCTTAAAACCAATTACTGTGGGCCCTTGGATACAGAAAACACACAACTAATATATAAATTGAAAACTGATAATTGATAGTGTACATGTACTAATAGCAACACGTTAATGGTTGCACGAGTTTTCGTGATGTGTTGCATTTTAAGCAGACTGTTCTCCACGTTCTGGCATCGTCTACATCATAGGATGTCTTGGCAGCGTTGTGGTAGTAGTCCAGCAACAATGTTCTAAATCGTACCAGTGAGAGATCTTTTTGCCTTAGATTTTCTGGCAGAGAGATATGACGATATGACGATATGACGATATATTTTCTGATATGACGTAGGCCGGGCAAGCTTTTCTTCGTTTATTCGTAGACCCCTCACGAAACGTGTTTCTGCTGGGGTCTACCACTGGGGTCTACACCGTAGGCTAGGGATTTCCTAGCCTGCGTCAATCTCGTACCCAGAGCCAATCATAGAGATTATAAATAACACTACCTAGCCCGCGCACAAGCATTGCCCTGCGTGGCAGGCCCTCAATTTTATGGGGGGCCTGATTTGCAAATCAGGCCCCCCATAAAATTGAGGGTGTAGCCTGCACTCAGGCGGTGCTGGCCAAATTGGTATTCATTAATTTCATTTTGGGGCGGCGAGTTGAACAAAGCAAATTTGACTTCTTGCCCAAATTTTAAAGCAAAATTAAACAAGAAATGTCGAAGTCTGAACCTCGAGAAAAACTCAAAGACTGAACTAAGGTATGTACTTTCTATTTTACGTAAAATGTACATGTTTCGGCGAACGAAACTGCTTTAAATTCTTGTCAAAGTTGAGGGCCGAAATTCCCTTCGGTCGCCCATTCGATATTCGTCTTGTCCTTGCGTAAAAACATTGAATTTTAGACTTGCTTTTCGCTATATTTACTTTAAATTACTAGATAAATTGTTAGATAGAATACTCAGGATGTTTTAGAGCTAAATTTATGTTAACTTTTGTCATTATAGTGAAAAGAAATATTCAGTTCTCAACCTCGTGGGTCAATGTCATGGAAGCGAAGTTGATTCAGTAAAATCGCTTTCTTGCTCGAAATTTTAAAGCAAAATTAAACAAGAAGTGTTGAAGTCTCAACCTCGAGAGAATCTCAAAGACTAAATTAAGGTATGTACTTTCTATTTTACGTAAAATGTACATGTTTCGGCGAACAAAACTGCTTTAAATTCTTGTCAAAGTTGACTCGAAAGTTGAGGGCCGAAATATTTCCCTTCGGTCGCCCATTCGATATTCGTCTTGTCCTTGCGTAAAAACATTGAATTTTAGACTTGCTTTTCGCTATATTTGCTTTAAATTACTAGATAAATGGTTAGATAGAATACTCAGAATATTTTAGAGCTAAATTTATTTTACATTTTGTCATTTTAGTGAAATGAAATATTCCGTTCTCAACCTCGTGGGTCAAGTCATGGAAGCGAAGTTGATTCAGTAAAATCGCTTTCTTGCTCGAAATTTTAAAGCAAAATTAAACAAGAAGTGTTGAAGTCTCAACCTCGAGAGAATCTCAAAGACTAAATTAAGGTATGTACTTTCTATTTTACGTAAAATGTACATGTTTCGGCGAACAAAACTGCTTTAAATTCTTGTCAAAGTTGACTCGAAAGTTGAGGGCCGAAATATTTCCCTTCGGTCGCCCATTCGATATTCGTCTTGTCCTTGCGTAAAAACATTGAATTTTAGACTTGCTTTTCGCTATATTTGCTTTAAATTACTAGATAAATGGTTAGATAGAATACTCAGAATATTTTAGAGCTAAATTTATTTTACATTTTGTCATTTTAGTGAAATGAAATATTCCGTTCTCAACCTCGTGGGTCAAGTCATGGAAGCAAAGTCGATTCAGTAAAATCGCTTTCTTGCTCGAAATTTTAAAGCAAAATTAAACAAGAAATGTTGAAGTCTCTACCTCAATTCAAACTGAGAAGGTATGTATATATTCTTCTGTTATATTTATGTAAAATGCATGGCCATATTTTTAGCGAGATAATAGAACATATCATTCTTACAAATCGTGTCGTTTTTCTTTTTGGATTTTTTATTTTTTCGCGGGAAAGACGTCACAAACTTGGCGCCAAAAATTTAAAAATTAGCAATGACTAATTATCACTTATTTACTGAGACCGAGGGAAACAGTGTGTTTTGTGGACCCGAGACCATGTTCGACGGTCGAGGGTCCACAAAACACACTGCTTTCCCGAGGTTTCAGTAAATAAGTGTTTTATTATATATCAATAGTCAAAGAAACAACAAATTAAAGAACAAATGAACGTAAATACATAAAATATTTTATTGTTAAATTAAAACGTTATATTAGGCCACATTTATTTTTTATTTTAAAAACCCCCGATTTTTATTGATCAACGGGCTCTAATATATGTAGTATTTCTGTTGACTGTAGTCAATTGTGTTAATAATTTGCGAAATTGCGTGCGAAAATGACGGTATGAATTATATTTTGAAATATAGAAAAAAATATCTGTATTGCGCAAGAAAATCCAGTTTCGGACCTAACATTGAGTAAAACCAAGGCGTTAAAAATTAGTAAAAATTAAAAAAAAAGCGCCCGCCCGCCCACTTTTTGGCAAAAGCTAAGGATGCTAACCAACTATTTTTTTTTGTTTGGCCTTAAACACTGGCTACACTGCAGTTACTTAAAGTGAAAGTTTTAATTACGTACTAGGCATGTCCAAAGGTCGCATCTTCACGTGATGGCGCACATGATTTTTTTTGTTATTCGCCGGTCGATAACGTATTATCTCCCTCTTGCGCTGTTGCGAGGGAGACAGCCTAATTTCGTCACTCACGTGATATGCTCTCAACCAATAAAACACTAGAAAAATACGACTTTGACTATTGATATATAATAATATTATTTATTTATTTGGAAGACCATGCTGTAGCAATCTTGAAACTGAAGTCTGTTTCGAAGTACGACCAGTCATTGCAAAGACAGAGTGATTCAAATTTCGAAAAAGCAGCCATTTTGTTCTATTTTTAGTAACAAAATGGCCGATTTTTCGAACTTTGAACCAGTCTATCTTTGCAGCGAATTGTCGTATTTCGAAACAGACTTCAGTTTCAAGATTGCTGCAGCATGGTCTACCAAATAAATAAGTAATATTAGTCGTTGCTAAATTTTAAATTTTTGGCGCCAAGTTTGTGACGTCATTTTCCCGCCAAAAAATAAAAAATCCAAAAACAAAAACGACACGATTTGTAAGAATGATATATATGTTCTATGTTTATGGAAAATTTTGTACAATCAGGATGAAAATTTAAAAAGTTGCAACACCTCTGGCGATTTTGGACTACTTTTTGCCAGGCGTGTCACTTGCTCGAAATGACTTCAAATGCCGAAGTTGACAAGCGCCCGTTCAATGTGCTGTCATTGTCATTGAATTACAGAATTTAGCCTCGGCTTTTTGGTAATTCAACCCTGAATTAAACCCTTGTTAGGGTGATTTTAAAGCCAAATTTGTTTAAATATTTGTCGTTTTTACGAAAATAATTGATACAATCATACAACGCATAATTAAATAAACTATGCATATTGATAAGAGGAGAACCATTAGAAATGTGATGGGGGGAGAGACTTTTTCAACTTGTACGAATTTTTTTTAACATTTTTTGTTTGTGTCGATAATTTTCTTAGATATAATCCCTTGCACAATTTTTTTTATTTCAACTTATAATTTTCCCTGTTGAAATGTTCTTGCACAAAGTTTTTTTTTTCAAACTGTTTTAGTGCACAATATATTTTCTTTCTGTTTCCCCCTGTGCAATTTTTAATTTTGCTACCCCCCTCCCCATTACTTTTCTAATGGTCCGTCCCTAAATACCGGTATTCCTTATTTTAATATGTACTTTTTGTTTGTGGAAACACCACATGAATTTATACTGCAGCAGAGCAGCTGGGAAATTTGTTGCGCATGCGCCAGATTTCCATTGAAACTTGAACATCAGTTTCCCGAAGAAATAACGAGATGTTCGTGGTTGTTGTATATTTTTGAATGCCTGTTTAATCTTTATAATTTTTTTGCTCGAGACAAAGACAAAGTAAAATGTACTCTACGTTTCCAGTGTATAGAATATCTCGTTTGTGTTTGAACAGTAATAGAATATTATAAACTTGACACAAACAAGAAGACATTTGACACGCTAAATCTGCAGTCATGCATGCCAATCGTCGCGAGCTTGACAGCCTTGTAAAGCGCAAAACAAGTACGAATTTGGGTTCAAACAGAAAGAAGTTCAATGTTAATACCACTCACATATATTCTATAGAAATACGGGTGGTTTAAAATGTTTTCAATTGAATTTTCAAAGCTTTTATCTATCGACATGATAATAAAACTGTGAAAATCCGGCTTTTGTTGACGCTTGCGAATGCAAAATAACTTCCCGTAAAAAGAGCATTTCTATACAAAACTCTCGCTTAGTCTTCTAATGCACTTGTATGTTCGGTTCTACTAGCTAAACAAGGAAAATATCCAAGAAGCACTGTTAAATTATCGTTGTCAAAAAACATTTCAGTTCTGGGGCAGTACGTACAAGGTCTCAAGGTCAAGTTGTCGATTTCATTACATCATACATAGACATAGACATTTTATTTGAACCCACTTATTACATTAGTTTTACATTACATTAATTTTTTAACATGACATGGGTTCCGTCTGCCCGAAATAACCATTAAGGGGCTAGATGAATCAGGCAGACGTTTTACACACAACGCTTGACAAACAGATATAACGAAGCTTAATATATAAAATAGTCAATTTACATAAATATTTTACTCAATTTAGCAGAACCACAGAGAGAAGCAAAACACCATATAATTATGAAATTATTATTAAAATTTAGAATGTTTTAGCAAAATCAATAATTAAAAATAATGAAAGCAATTCAACAATTCGATACATAAATGATACAGTACTTCGAATGTTTTCAAACTCTTATCTCATACAAGAGCAGTAAACGCACGCATTTCAAAGCGAAATTAGACGCAAAGGGGCAATTTTTCAACAAAATTCATTGTTAAATTATGTTTCCTATGTGCCTTGGGAGCAAAAAAATATGATTTTAAATTTGGAGATTTCGGTAAATTTTTTTTCAATTTGGCCTGGTATTGCACCCTACCTATGTACTAACGGTGCTGTAAAAGTAATCAAATATACTATTTTTAATTTCCTTTCTTTGAAAGGATCTACTATTCTGGACTAAACTAAATTTTAATCAGCATACAAGGCTGCAAACAACAGCCAAGAATTAGCTGGGTAGTTTGCAAACTTTAAAAATAATTGGACCTCAAACTTCGATCTCCAGAAGTAAACAAATAGACAATACTGCGAACATAATCCAAGTTTTGATCACGAGGGCAATTTTTAGATGTAAAAAAACTTGTTTAAATTACATATCAAACTAAGGCAAAACAAAATTTGGTATTAAATTTTTGGTGAAATCGTCTAAGTTTTTTGCTATCCGCCCACACTTCTACACCCCCTCTCCCAGGATATTCTACCTCAAAAAACAGTTTTCTGCAGAAACTATGCCTTTTTATCGGAAAAATGTTTACTTTTCTCAAAAAATACATTATAAACACGGAAACCTTAAATATTTAAATAATTTTCATACCTTTTTGGGATTGAAAAAAGCAAAATTTGATTCATTATCCCACTTTTTAAAATATATGTGATAAAGTTGCTTCAAAATCACCATCACGCAGTAGCATGTTTATTTACCCTCATCCTTTTGACTGAATAAAGTTTATCGTTTTGAAAAGCTATTTGTTTTATAGCTCTTGGTTACCGGTTTACGTTTATGTCGATTTTGGCACCCATGAGACCAACAAGTTGTGGTAATCCGCGAATGAAAATGGATATTCGAAGAGTACAAAAGCCAACTCCTAGCTATGTAACTTTATCGCCTGAATTTTGAATCAATCCAAAATTAAAATGCTGATAATGTAGATGCTTTCCATACTTGAGATGTTAGTGAAGTTTTTCCTACAATTTAATTTCCTTGATCGCTGTCTTAAAAATGCAAAATCATCAGTTGAAATTTCACTCGTGTTGTTTTTTCAAATTTTCGAATTTTTGTAAAATATCGCGTGCGCCAGCAATTTCTCTGCACAGCGACAACAAATTTCCCAGCTGCTCTGCAGCAGGAATAAATTTACGTGGTGTTTCCACCAACAAAAAGTATTATGTTTTATCACCATGGACACCATGCAAACCCACAAAGAACTTTATATTCCTTATTTTATTGTACTGTATTAAAAATGGTGGCATACTGTACTAAGGCCCCCGTTTACATGAGACCGGAACGAAGTCAAACCGGGACCATCTCGTTTCGGTCATACATAGTATTATCTATAATAGATGTTTACATGAGACCGGGACGAAAATAACTAGTAGTAGTAGAACTTTATTTATCCACGCTGACCCCGTCAACCTAAGCTGATTTCCACGGGGGGCGTGTGAACTCAGACCGGTCTCAAGTCATTCCGCCTTCTGGACCGAACCGACTGACTTCAGACCGGCATGAATTCAGACTGGGATGAATGTAAACACAAATACATTTCAGACCGGTCTCAGCTGTAATCTTGACATTGGAACAACACATGCTAGCAAAAGCCATCTGAAAAAGAAAATTGCCTGGCAAGGGGAATAAATTGAAGATTTTGTGATCCTCGTACCGGTCTCATGTAAACATGTTGACAATTTCCATTTTCATTCCGGTTTGACTTCGTCCCGGTCTCATGTAAACAGAGCCTAATTTGATTTGTTATTAATCTTTCTAATTTTATTTTCAGGCTGAATGGATGTAAATTGAAATGTGTGTCACTGGAAAACCACTATACCCCTGCACATTGGATACTCAAATTGTAAAGCGAATTCAAAGATAAAAATGTTCAATTCTCAACTTCAAGAGAAAGCCTGGTCTAAGGTATGTTCTTGCTATTTTATGTAAAATATTTGGAAAACAGGCATTTTCTTAAAACAATTCAGATTTTGAAAAATAATTTGAAAGAAAGACCACAGCCCTAGGCTGGATCGATATACCGGATATATCCGATATACCGGTATTTGTTTAGATACTGGTTTGGCGATATTGACAATTTAAAAATACCGATATACCGACATTTCGGTATTTTGCTGCCTAATACCGAAATGAAACGCTCTTTCAAGTCAAACTTGCTTACAATCACGTTTAGAAAGCAAAGTTAATACTCACAGATGCATGATTTTGTTCTTACAGTTCTAGCAGCTTTGGTTTAGCAATACCAGACGTCTTGTTTATTAAATCGCCGGTTA